TTAATATGATGAATTATGTTGGCTTTTAAATACTAAACCAATCCTGCATTCTTGGATAAACCCCACTTGGTCATGCTGTATCAGTCTTTTTATATGTTTTGGGAGTTGTATTTGCCAAAATGGTATTGAGAATTTCAGCATCTAAACTTCACAAGGAATCATAGTTACATTTCCTGCTCTTACAACAGCTTTTGGCTTCAGAGCAACACAAGCCTCCCGAAATGTGCTAAGAGGCAGGCGTGTCTCGTCAGTGTCCGGGGAAGCCGGCAGGACAGGGCAGACGTGCCTCACCTGAAATGCTTAGAACCAGAAATATTTTCAGTTTTGTATTTTTTTCAATTTCACAATATCTGCATATACATAATGAGATTTCCTAGGGATAAGAGCCAAGTGTAAACAGGTAATTTCTTTATGTTTTCATACACACCTCTTACCAAGAGCATAAATGTAATTCTGTATGGTATTTTAAATACTTTCGTATACAAGAGATCCATGTGAAAAAAATAAAAAATAAATAAAAGATTCATGGTGTGAAATTCTCTACACGTGGTACATGCTGGTGCTCACAAAGATTCAGATTCTGGAGATTAACAATGCTCAACCCTCAGGGCCGGCAAGGTAGCTCAGAGAACTAAGCGCCTGCTGAGGCAAGCACAGGGACCAGGGTTCGATCCCCCGCACCACATACCGCACTGGCCCCGCCCCCAGGTGCCCTGAGCTGGCCAATGACTCCAGGCGTGGTGGCGCACACCTGTAATCTCAGTGCTGGAGAGGCTGAAAATGGGAGGATCACTGTAAGTCTGAGCTGCACAGTGAGACCCTGTACTAAGTACATAAAAAAAAAAAGCTTAACTTTTATTCCCTCCTTAAACAGTTGGTAGACACCATAAGGACCTAGAAGCGGGACTGTTCGCAGGCCTGGGCATTATTCTCTGTAATCCTCTCAGCTGTGTGTGCCCCCTCACCTCCCACCGCCGGCCTCTGTAACTCCCCCGCTGAGCCTGCAGAAGAGACTATGGAAACCTCTGCCAAGGTCTCTCTGCACAGTCTCTCCCCCATTAAGCACAGGCACGCCTCCCTGCGCAGGCTCCAGCTGCCTCAGTGCCCCTGAACTCTCATGTCTGCCGCTCCAGCAGTCAGCCCCGCTCTGCCGGGAGCCCCAGGTCATGGACTGAAAACTCCTGCCATGCAAGAGTAGGGCCAACTGCAGCGCTCGCTGTCACTGACGCCTACTGCAGAAGAAAAGACTTGGTCTTGTCGTGGTTCCAGGCACAGAACTCTCACAGCACTCAGAGAGGACCCAGGCGCTCCCCCACCTCCCAAGCTCGCCCTACTGGCTATTCCTGAGTTGCAGCCTTTATAATAAACTAATAAAGATAAGGAAAGTAGCTTCCTGGGCTCAGCACATTATCAAAGACAAGGAGGGAGGCAAGGAAGGCGGTCGTAGCAGCTCCTGACCTGCAGCCAGCCAGCCCGCAGCACACAGCACAGGCAGCCAGGGACCTGTGCCTGGCTTCCAAAGCTGGGCGGTCTATGCACTGAGTCCCTCCAGGTTACAGGATCTGATGTCAACTCCAGGTCAACAGGATGAGAATGAAAATGAGTTGTTGGGCACCCAGTTAATATTCATAGCCTGGGAAAGTGTACTGGAAAAAGTATCAGCTATTTAGTGTTAGAAGTGGGGGGGGAAATCTCATTGCATGTTTCTCAAGAGATCACTCTTGGGCAGGGAATGCAGCCCACGAGGAGGGCACTTGTCAGCACGCACAAGGCTCTGGCTTCCATCCCCAGGTCCCCAGCACCAAGGGGAAAGAGAGATCACTATCCGCCCCCTGAGGAACGTCCAGTATTTCATATATTTTGTCCATTTCTGGATGATTTCAAGCAGCAAAGCATATTGGTCCGTGATACTCCAACTTAACCAAATGGAATTCTGCACACCTGAGTCACCCTCAACACTACTACACAGCTATTTAAGTTTCCTGTGACTTCCACCAGCGAGAGACTTCTAGTGGAGCCATGCGACACCTTGTCTGAATGACTCACAAAACCCTAGGTAAAGCAAACACTGACCTTGATGTCACCAGTCCCCCACACGAAGCCTGGCTCACACAAGACACTCAGGAAGCTCTGGTGAATGAACTCCTACGCACGCAGCTACAACCCTCGTTCAAAGCCTCAGAGCCCCCAAGAGGACAGGTCCCCGAGGCCTCTCTGAAAGACCAGCTCAAAACCCTGCATCGAGACTTCAGAACAAACCTAAGTCCTTCACTAGCCAGGAGACGCTGGGGAACTTGTTAACCCCTAAGGACAGCTGAAAAGAGCCCCAACAGAAGTGCAGCATAACAAGTGCTTTGATCAGGGACAAACAGGGAACGAGCAATTAGGATGGCTTGTGGTTTCACTTACTCCTCTGTCTCAGAGTTCTCTTAGAAGCAAAGTATTTTCCAGTTGGTGTAGGGACTTTCCTGGGCAGCTCTTCAATGCACAGATGAGTAACACCAGGGCTTGGGAGTACTGACTTCTTCTCAGGCCATGCCTTTCCGCTTGCTTGAACATTAGGGAACACACTTTCTGTTTTATTCTGTTTGGTCTGGTTTTGAGATGAGGTCTCATCATGTTGCCTAGGCTGGTCTCAAAATGTGTGAACTCAGCCTTCTGTCTCAGCGCCTGCGCACGGGATGGCAGGTGTGAACCACTGGGCCCCGCACGTGCTTTCTATGGTTTGGGGTTTTTTTGGTTTTTTTTGTTTTGTTTTGTTTTGTTTTTTAATGACAGACAGGAAAAAACTGACTGCATTTATATCCTGTTCACTCTAACCATAACCATATCTGGATTTGAAAAAAAACAAAACACCAAGTGTAGAAAGGGAAGTCCTGTCTTATCCCTGGTTTCACTTTCTGCTGCTCATCCTGAGTGGACCAGTCAGGGTTAGTACAGAAAAGTAAGGTATGGGACAGCAGGAGCGCACTCACGCAGCTGTTAGTACAGAACGGGGCAGCCATCGCGCCGCGGTGTTACTGGTTACTGTTGGCAATCTCTGTGAGACTCTATTGCAGTGAGTACGCCTAACTGGGAAGAAGACGGTGTATCTAGCGCTTTTACCATGCAGTTTTGGGCATCCCTCGGGGACCTGGAAATTTATCCCCTGAGCATAAGGGGCGACTACTGTAAACCAATTCCTAGATCTGCTGTACAGGACTTTCCTAAGTTAGCTCAGACCAACTTTAAAGGTCAAGTAAAGACAAAAACACTTTCGTTCTGAGTACTAAGATAGCATGTAGCTCCCTGCACCAACTGTGAGACTTCCCCAGCAACATCACTACCTACATTTAAGGCTTACAAAAAGAAACTAAAAGGACGAAGAACCAGTCACCAGGCTGAGCATTCTCAGGCCCACCTCTGAAGGACGCTGAGTGGAGGCTTCCAGTTCACTCTTCCCCCCTTTTCTTAACCTCCCCCGGTCCGGGGGTCAAAATCAGGACTTGTGCTTGCCAGGCAGGCTTAAAGTTCTGATGGGCGTTTTAAAGAACAAGAAAAGGAAGGCTGGCAGACAGCACACTTCCTTCCAGTGAAGAAGCCCTTCCCCAAAGCCCCACCTCTACGCAGTTCCCGCCGCAGGTACCGCACAGACTTCACTAGAGCAGCTGCTGCAAGCACAGCACCCACACCGCTTCCGGCTCCCAGTGCGGGCGCAGCGCGACACTCGGGCGCCTTCCTGCAGGACCTGAGAGCCTGCACACCCAGAGGACTGTCTCCTCTACACTGCACACTCCGCCTAGGCCTTCCACAGCGTCTGCAGCGGCCACTCACGCCCCTGCTACGGGACCCTCCAAGCGTACGACGTGTGCCTGTGCGTACGCTCCTAGAACTCCACCACAGGCTCCGTGGACCAGTGCTCCGCAGAACACAGCGTGGGCCACCCACCTCCTTTTGTTCCTCTGTCTTTCGCGTGTCTTGAAAGAACATGTATTTCTCTATTCACTGTCTGTCCTTACTGCATTCGCCCCTCAGCTCTGGGGATCTGGGCTCTGCCTCCAGCGCACTGCACGAACAGCAGTACCTAACTGTGGCCGTCTCCCGCGTCCATTCACCTGGCTCCCAAACCCCACACCCTCTCCTCACCCTTCTTGGCTCAGTTCACCTCTATATTATTTTTTTTTTCCTACTTTTCTCTTGAAAACTAAAAACACACAGACACACAAAAATACAAAAAAAAAAAAAAAGCAAATGTTTATATTCCCATGAATCAGAAGTGACAATGCTAGTTAGTAATGTCACGTTTGTGTTAAGACTTCATTGAAGGGCTGGGGAGATAGCTCAGTGGCATCACTGCCTGCCTGACAAGAGCAAGGTCCCTAGTTTGATCCCTGATACTGGGAAAAAAAAAAAAAAAAAAAAAAAAAAAAAAAAAAAAGACTTCATTTGATAAAAGCAAAACAGGATAAAGATGAAGACCCTGCAATTTCCACAGGGCACCCACTCACACTCTTTCTCCCGCCCTTGGCAAGCACCTACCAGGCCTTGCACCCCTGTCGGCTCACCCCTTTCCCTTGCAGATGTATCCCGAAGCAACTAAATCACTTCACAGAATGACATCACACAATAACCTGCCAACCTCCCTCCATTTGGCAAGACTGACGCAGATGCATGGAGGGCCTGCTGGGCTGACTCTGCTTGCAGCACTGGCCGCGCCGAGCGTCCTGTACATGCCGCGTCTGCTAATTCTCTGAACCGCAGTACACGCTGTGTACAGGCACTGTCCCCACCAGAGACAAGGACAGCAGCTGGAGCGCAGGGCTGGGGCCTTTAGAATCCAAGTTCTCTCTACTGAGCCAGATGTCACACTGACTTGGGGAAAGACGAAGAGACTAGAAAGCTGGGAGGGCAGAAGCTCACGGTGAGGGCCAGCCGCTCAGGCCAGGATCCTGCTCGCCCTGTCTTAGGCTAGTTCCCCAGCCAAGCACCACCAGCGTGGAGAGCAGGGAAGTGGCACTCACGGTTGTGAACCTTGTAGCAGTGGCTCTGCAGGCGCTCCGCCTCGCGCTCCTCCAGCACCCCGTGGGTCATGAGCAGCTGCAGGAAGCGCCGGTGGACATCGGTCATGGCCCCCGTCCTTCTGGCGCCGGCCTGCATGTGTGCGGGAGCTGGGAGAAGGGAGAGACCCGGTCACGCGGGGCGCACAGGAGCGGCACCGTGGGCTTGGTGCACGTTCATGCTAACCAAGTCATCATGGTTTTTAGAACTGTTTCTTACAGTGACTACTACAAAGGAGGAAGGAACATGAGCCAGGGGCTGGGAATGCAGGTTGGGAAGCAAGGAAGAGTGGGGCTCTAGGCCCACAGCCTAGCTCCACCACTTATTAAAGGAGTGAGCTCGGGCCACCGAAGGCTCCACATGCTTTGCTCTGTCTGCAAAACAGGAACCATGGATTGGGGCCCAGGAGATGGCTCAGGAGAATAAGCACTTCCCTGGCAAGCGCGAGGGCCCAAGTTCGATCCCCGGTTCTGCCAAAAAAAAGGAACCATGACAGAAGCATCCTCCAAAGCACCCCTACAAGGATTAGACGAGCAAATGCGTGCAAGGGCCTGTCGTGCCAGGAAGCACACACAAGCATTGGCTGTTTTTACAGCTCAGTAATTCTGAGTCTGAACCCTGACTCAGCAATTTACCCGACACACGGCCTTGGAGAATTTAGCGGAGGCTGCGTTTTCTCCCTACAAAATTATAGAAACATCTACTGCTTAGAAAGCTGCTCGTAAACAGTAAATGTCAGCTTCCTTTTCCTCTCCCCAACCTCTAATAAATCAACTGTCACAAGAGGACTGTGGGCTATTTTGAAAATCTCCTGCTCTCTAATAAAATGGTATCTTTCCACAAACCACAAAGATCAGAGCTGATAAACGTACAGCACAAGCTCTGCTCGACACACCTGCTCCTGTCCTTCGAGGCAGGCAGCACAATGCAGGGCCGGGAGCAGCGGTCTGGCACCAGACAGGGCCCGTGTCTGCAACCCGCCTTGCAATTTAGTAATGCAGATTCCTGGGCCCCTCTCAGGGAGGTTCTGCCAACTGGGGCTGGGATTTAGAGGTCTGAACCTTCACGTCAGGCCACGCCACAGTCCAAGGAGCAACCTGCTGTTACCGCAGGCAGGCAGGCAGGCAGGCAGGCGGAGCATGGACCCATTTTCTAGGCTGTCTCTCAAGCTCATCTACTAACCAGGGATAATACACATCGCTCGTGAAGGCATAAAAGGAAGCTCGTCAAGAGCCTGGTGTACACAGAAGAGACACGAAAATGCTTGTTACTGTCTCGGACACAGGTTCAGGCTGACTCTGAACTTGCTGTGTAGCCCAGGTTGGCCTCGAACCTGCAGCAATCCTCCTGTCTCCTGCCTCAGCCTCCGGAGTGCTGGGATTACAGGCCTACGTCAACCAGGCCCTGCTACTGTTCTCTTCTGACAGCACCATGAACTGGCCCTCCAAGCTGGGAAGATGCACTACCCCATAACTAGTTCCTCTGATGGCCCACCAGACACCCTGGAGAACACCTCTCCAGCACCTGTACCCAGCAAGCCCTAACTTAGATTATACCCAGCCTCCTCTTCCACCATGCTCGACCCTGTTCCTGTGTCCCTCTTTGTCAATCATCAGGCTACAGAGATGCAGAAGCCGTACACCTGGGCAGAACGTGCTGGTCCTCTGTCCCTCAGCCTCGGCTCCAGCCAGCTGTCAGGTTTACTTCCTACCACCAGGGTCAGGTACCTTGACTCGCTGGTTCCACTTTTATGTCCTGAGTACGCGCGATTTGCCAGTGGATAGGGCGATACGACATGCCAGACTAAGCAAGTCAGACTCCTGCCCTAGAAGCCTTGCAAATGAAGCTCTGCGACCGAGGGGGTCTTAGAGCAGGAAGATGATGTTAGCTTAGGAGTGTTTTAAAAGATACTGTTGAGGGGCACTGTGGAGGGGCAGCGGAGGAGAAAAGAAATGGGCCTCGAAGAATCCACTAAGCTTTTCACTGTCAGATCCAGCCTAAGGGAACGAAGGTCTCCCTGAGGTTTTACCATGGAGACAAATGTTAAAAACCAGGGTAACAGTCGCTATGACCTGTTAAATTCCAAAGTGGATAACTGTACTTTTTTTTTTTTTTTTTTTTAAGACAAGGCTAGCCTGTAGTTCAGGGTGGCCTTGAGCTCACTACGGAGCCCAGACTGGCCTCAATCTCTTAGCAACTCTTCAGCCTCAGCTTCCAGAGTGCTGGGACTGCAGGCAAGCGCCACCATGCCCAACTCAGGGGACAAATTTAAAAACACCCTCTGAGGCCCATGGTAGAAAAGGCTAGCATATCAATGACTAAAAGCAACCAAATAGGCCAGAGCCAGGTGTGCTAGCACAGCTGTAACTCCAGCCCACACGCTAGGAGGCCGAGTCTTGAGGATTGCACATTCTAGGCCAGTCTGAATCTGAAGGGTGCAACAGACGCTGGGAAAAGGGAATGCACTTGAGGAAAGAGTACTGAGCTGAGGAGACGGGCAGGAGAGGGAGTGGGGGAAGGAGGTGCATCTGTGCACATGAGCAGGATGGTTTGGACAATTGTACTGTGCGTTCTGCTGGTCTATGGAAAGGAGCAAATAATAATTTGTTTTGTTTCCTTTTTTCCAATTGTTTGTACGTTTTTCTTCTTAATCTCTTACACATTTCTTTCTTCCAAGTTTACATGCATATATCTGGTAATGTGAATAACCAGCTGGAAGAAAACACTATGCACTACAGCAAATATTGTGAAATTCATATTACTTTGTTAAGTGAAATTCTGTATCACTTGTAATTTTTTGTTTTAGTTCTAATTTGTACTTTCTTTAAAAAATAAAAAATAATTTGAAATTTTAAAAAGACCAGTCTGTGTAATTCAGCAATTTAGTAAGACCCTGTCCCCAAATTAACAATAAATAAATAAATAAATCTTTGGGCAGAGATGTCAGTTCAGTGCCAAGGTCCTCATTTCAACCCCAGAAACCACAAAAACAAAACAGAGAACCAGTCAGCTGACTTCCAAAAGAGCAGCAATTAAGCCAACAAGTTACTTCCCAACAGAAACCACAGCACCCTGGGCCAGCAGGAAGCACTGCCAACTGCTGGGGCCGCCTGCCTCTCGATTGGGCCCTCCTTCAATCTTTAACTAAAGACTGGGATTGAAATAAAATACCCGAAGAAGCAAAACTGAAAGGCGAAATGGCCCGCAGTCCTCACCAAGGAAATTCCAGGGCAAGTACTTTATCATAAAAGGGGTGCAAGCTGCGAGTCTAAGAGCAAGACCAAAGGAAGAGCAAGGACGCTGCAAAGCGCGTGGCTAGATTCAAGCTTACTTGTGGCTAAATAAGGCAATAAAATGAGTGTCTGTGAGGCTTTTAGAATAAAATAATAGCACATACATTGACAGGCAACGCTAGAGTTAGTGTTCTAATACTTTTATGATGATTGTGCATAGAATAAAAAGTTTATGATTTTACACCTTCATAATTTATCAAGCATCCATTTTGTTTTGGTGCGGTTTTTGTGGTACTGGGAATTGAACCCAGGACCCTGCTTGCCAGGCAAGCACTTATTCTACTGAGCCATCTCCCCGGCCCCAAGCATCCATTTTAAAAAATAACAGAGTATATAATTTCCAAATTGTAACGTAATTGAAAAATAATCCTAAAGAAGGCAACAAATGAGGGGAAAAAGCAACAGAGAACAGCAGAACAATAAAAAAATAAACTAGAGCCAGGCTTGATGGTATACACCTATAATCCTGGTGCTTAGGAAGCTGAGGCAGGAAGATCTCCACAAGTGTGAGGCCTGGGCTACATAGGGACCTCAAAGCCAACCTGAACTACATAGCAGACCTTGTCTCAGAAAGAAAGAATGAAAGAAAGAAAAAGAGTGACAAAGAGAGACAGAATGAACTGGGTTTAACACCCAGCGCTGCGCACGCACACACACACACGCACACACACACAGCCAAAAGCATCTGAAAAAAAACAAGTAAATACGCATTAAGACTTCCTGAGAGAACATTTATAAATGAATACTTAGAATGAAAAAGACAAAACTAATTGCATGTGGCAAAGCATTTTTAAGACATCATTAACAATTTATAACAAGATGAAGTTTTAAGTATGTATAAAGTCATAGGAAACTCATTTGAAACTAATGGAAAAATTACTTGAAAACTTAAGTCATAGAGCCACTAAAAGCATTTGAGGAAAAAGCTATCTTTCTGCCAAGAAAACTTTGGGCCCCAATGAAACTTACCAGGAAGTCTTAACAAACAACCTGGAACTGAAGAGTCACACACATCATTCTAGGGCCAGGAAGTCAATCCCCCAACCCAGCTGGTAAGACTGGCATACACCTCGGGCACCAAACCGTAACATGGCCTTCAATAAAGGAAGAGTCACAGGCAGAATCACACGCAAGGCATCTCTGAGGAACAGAGCCACAGCAGCCCTAGGCAAAATGCTAAACCAAAGCCAGCAACACAGAAAGAATGAGATATCATCACTTAGTTTATTTCAGCAATGCTTTAACATCTAAAATTTAATCAATGCAAGTCTCCACACTTACAAAGAAAAAGGCATACGGTCATCTTAATAGATGTACAGAAGAACTTGATAAAATTCAAAATTTACTCAGAGTAGAAATGAGTATGGATTCAGGGGAGGCAGTGCTGAGGCCTGGGCCTAGGGTCCCATAATTGCTAAGCAAGTATTTACCACCGAGGTGCCCCACGGCCCAAAGGAAATCCTGTTATCTCTTAAATGAGATCCACAAAAAAAAAAAAAAAAAAAAAAAAAAAAAAAAAAAAAAAAAAAAAAAAAAAAGAAAGAAAAAAACTACAGCAAACTTAAAGATGAAATGTTGAAAACAATCACTTTTAAACTGCACATGACCAACACACTTCCAGTAAAAATTCCAGTATTTTGAAAGATATAAAAAGTACAAACCACAGAGAAATAACCTGAATATGGCAAAACTGACTTTTAAAATTAGGCAACTGTTCAACAAAAACACCAAAGAGGGGAGGGAAGGCAGAAAAGGGGAGGCTATACACTGGAGGATCTGAAATACATATAAGCTGCAAAATATTCATCTTCAGAATAAAGAACAGGATAGAAAGACAACAGTATGAGGGAAAAACAGACAACAGAGGGGAGGGGGGAGAGGGGGACAGGGGGACCGGGAGACTAAGACAGAAACAGAAACAGAGACTGAGACAGAGATTAATAAATGCACTTAAAAAGATGCCCAATCTCAATGTTACCAGGCAAATAAGTATTAAAGACCAATGAGGGCTGGAGAGATGGCTCAGTGGTCTAAAGCACCTACTTGGAACAAGCTTGGCAAAGCACAGGGACCGCAGTTCGATCCCCAGCACCACATGCCAGCCAGCCCGCCCCCTGGTGGGCTGAGCTGGCCACAGAGACACACAATAAATAAATGTAATAAATAAATAAATAATTTTTAAAAAGACCAATGAAACAGTATCAATTATTACTATACTCTTTAAATTTTTTAGAAAAAGGTAATAAAAGTGACAAGAACAAAATTTAAGATTTCTTGAAAGCATTCAGTAATATTCAATCATATGTCCCATCTTGCATAACTATGATAATCTGAGCAACAGATTTGAAGATAAAAATAAGTATCATTCATTGTTAATCAGCTATTCTCTTGATAATCTGTAATATACATATTGTTGTATGTTGCCCTGGTTCTGTATGTTTTTGTTTTTCTTGCTTTTCTTTTCATTCTTCCAAATAAAATTATAATAAAAAAGTAAAAAATTAAAAAAAAAAAAAGTGTTTTACCCACCACCAGACAGACAAAAATTTGAAAGAATGGCTGAAACCTTCCTTCAGTGCTGATGAGTAGAACAGGTGTAGGGGTGTGTGTGTGTGTGTGTGCAGGGGCTTGCACCGTTAGGTGAGTGTTCTACCACTAAGCTACATCTCCAGCCCAAATCCTCACAAGCGCTTCAGCTAACACTACCAGCACATACGTCCTCAGAACCCCATTATTAGGTTTATACCTTACAGACAACTGTCCACACGTGCCCCAGGAAACATGCTCAGACGCTTACAAAAGCCTGGCATGAGCACGATGCCCTGCCAACTGCAGAGCAGCTGTACAACCCCATTACGATCATGCCGTGGAATTCACAGCAGCAATGAAGATGGAGACTTCTAAACAACATGCCATACGCAAAAAGCAAGCCACACACGTGTACACTAGGTCCCTACTAGGTCAAATCCAAAACCATTATTCATTAGAGAAACATAAAGTAGTACAAAAACAAGGTACAAAATAGGGCAGTGCTTATCTTTGGGAAGGGGAAGAAAAGCATTCAATGGAAGCTTTTGGCAAATTAATAACCTGTTTGACAGTCTCCTTGTGTAGCCCAGGCTTTCCTCAAACGCACAGCGATCCACCTGCCTCAGCCTCCCAAATGCTGGGATTACAGAGCACGCACTACCATCTCAACCAGCTAACAGCTTTCGTTCAAGTTTACATTTCTACCTGCTTTGGGTGGGCAGCAGGAGCCAGGCAACTGACCCCAGGTTCTCACACACGCTAAGCAAGCACTCTGGAGCTCAGCTAGCTGCCCAGCCCTTTTTGTGTATTCATATCTTGAGCTAGGGTCTCCCTAAATGGAATTAGGCCTCTGGGCCCCGTGCCAGCCCCACATGTGCATGGGCAGACTATACATCACAAACAAGGAGAAGGTGCGACCTTGTCACAGGGGACAGCAAACACAAAGGTCAATAAGAGGAAGTACAGCAGAGGACGAGGGTGGGGCTGGGGAGATAGCTCTGCGGCATTATTGCCTTCCTGGCAAGCACAAGGTGCTGAGTTCAATCCCCGGCACCAAAAGAAAAAGCAAGGAGGACAAAGGTGGAAGGCATGTAAAAGATACATATACAAATATACTTATTAAGCATATTATGTCAGCTGTCTCTATGAAGAAAGCCTGTGCAAGATCGATAACCCTTGCCATGTTCTACCTACTCAGATCATTTTAAAATAAAAATGCTTATGTAGTAAGTGAAGCTGTCAGGGCCGAGCCGGGGCAACTGACACTGGGCGTGGTGGCGCGCCTATAATCCCAGCGCTTGGGAGGCTGAAAACAGGAGACTCACAAGGAGTCCGATCTGGGTGGTGAGACCCGGTAGACTCTGTACTAAATACATTTTAAAAAAAAAGGCCGGGGAGATGGCTCAGTAGGATAAACGCTTGACTGGCAAACGCAAGGATCTGAGTTCAATCCCCGGTTCTGCAAAAAAAAAAAAAAAAACACTAAAAATAAAAAAAAAGTAACTCATCACTGGACATTACGCTAGACAACGCAGACGAAGCGCTAGCGCCTCGCCGCAGCCACATCTGTCCCTCACGTGAACCTCATCGCACAGATGAGGAAACTATGGCTAAGTGGACCCAGGTGACTGTTCGGGATGCAAAACGAGCGAACCCTAAAACTGCGACGTGGGTCTCAAATCGCACAAGTCCTGGAACCAGAACTTCCTGCTCCGACCCGGAATTCTGACCAGGGGGCTAGTTAGGGATATGCCTGGCTGTGAAGAACCACGCTCGGAGGGTCTTCGCTCAAGGGCCTGCTGCGGATGCGGGGAAGATCCGGAAAAGCGCGAGAAGACCCCAACAGCCGCGGCCGGGCTTCGCTGCGGGGACGCGACGCGCGCAGGACGCGGCGCCGGCGGGAGGGGCGTCGACCCAGGCTGCGCTTCCCGCCCCGGGGCGTCACCCCAGGCCTGTCCGCCCAAGCCCGCTCTCCGCCCGTGCCCTGCTCTTTCTGGACGCCCCTCTTCCTTCCCCGCCAGCCCCCCGCTCCCCCCGGGACTGTACCCACCACAGCACCCAAAGCTGCCCAGACTGTGCCCGCGGCGGCGGCCGGAAGGCGGGCTCAGGCTCGGGGCGGGGCCAACGCCGAGACGACGCTCCTATTGGTGGCGGCCAGCGGAATCCCCGCCCAGCGGGTGACGCACTTCCGGTTCGCCCGCCCCGCGTCGCGGCGATTTCCAGAGCCACGCGGTTTCCCGCGCGAACACAGCCGCCCTCACCACGGAGGTAACGCGGACTGAAAGCCAGGAGGCGCGGGCGTGGCGCCTGTGCCTGCCTCCGTGGGCCCAGATCCGCGGGCAGGAGGAAGTGCCGAGTCCGGGACCTCAGTTTCCTCCTCTGGGCGCTGACAGTGCGGCGTCGTGGTCCCAGGCGGAGGCTCGAACGGAGCTGGCGTCGTGGCTCTGCCGCTCCCCCACCTGCGCTTGGGGACGCCCCTGAGCGACTGCGAGCCTCAGTTTCCTCTTCTGTCCCGTGGGGATGGTAGACCCTACTGGAGTGTGGGTGGTTTGTACACGATGCAAATCGCGTGGTTGGCACGGCCCTTGAAATCTGTGGCCCGGCGGTGTGGGTTAAGCGTTAGCCACAGTTTTTCCTACTTAGGGAGATTTGTGAGAAGCAGGTAAAGCTACTTAGGGGAGTGAGGTTAGCCTGAGGGCTGGGAAGGGGCCTCGCTGGGTAGTGATGACCAACTATAAGCATGCAGTAAGTGCGTCTCTGAGCGTGTTAAGAGCCCCAGGAGCTGGCAGCCTCTCAGTCCCTGGACTGCCTTCTCATCTGCTAGCCAGCTGAGAGAAGCGGAGAGATTAATGATTAATAGCTTAAGCTCTGGAGCCAGATGGTCAACAATTGAATCCCGGTCCTTGAACTCAGAATCGCAGAGCCCCAGAACAGAATATTCAGACTTTGGGTTCCGCTTGCCCATCTGTAAAGCACTGATAATGATGACAGCTTGTTACTGGGGTTGTGCAAATTAACCCCAAAGCCCTGAGAAGGTGTCTGGCGCGTAGGAGGCCCTCAGCAAGTGTCAGTTACCTTTACTAACTGCTAGGGCTTGTGTCTAGATTTTCGCCAAAGCCACATGCAATCAGAGGTGGCTGGATCTAGAGTGTGATGCGAGGATTAAGGGGGTGTGATTACCAAGTTAGTCCATTGGTAGCTTTGGCTCAGTTCTGAGTGCGCTAAGGCAAAGCCCGTTTTGGTATGAATGCTACCTGCCCTGAGGGTGGGTAGCCTGGATAGGGTGGAAGGGACAGAAAGAGGCTCCCTTGCTAGTTGGCTGCTGCTTTGCTTCTTCCCTCCTTGCTGCCTTCTGCCCACCATAAACTGATTGTCCTCTGCAGTGCCCCTCTGCCACACCACCCTGCATTGGAGCCAGCCAACTATGAACTGAAACCTCTGCTGTGAACTAAATAAACCTTTCCTTTAATGGGTATTTTGTCTCAGCAATGAGAAAAGTAAGACACTAAACAAGAACTTTACAGGGGCAGTCAAATCAGAGCAGAAAACAGCCCAAAGGAGGACCATGTTTGTCTTGTTTGCCCTACACAGTTTTGTAAAAGTTCTCAATTCATTATCACTATTTAAAGTAGAGGAGGTGTTTTACATTAACCTTAGGATACATGATTGCTCTTGAAAAGGAAAATGTGGTGACAGCCAGCAGTCACCCTTGGTGGCATTTGATGAGATCTTAGGAGAGCCTGTTTCCCTTTGTTATGGAGCCAGTGTGTCCCTGGTGAGTGGAGAGATAAAAGCTGAAGACCAGGAATAGAAAGTGCTGGAGTTGGAGATATCTGGACCAAATGGCCGGGAAGGAGGCGGAAAATAAGGAATTCAAAGCTGAGTGGTATCAGAGGCACTTAGCTGGGACATACGGTGTGGTCAGGATTGTTGCTGCTCTGGAGAGGTCCAGAAAGATGTGTTACTGATTTAGAATTTGAAGGCCCATAAGAACAATCTCCATAAAGAGGGGAAGGAAGCCAGAGTCTATCTCTGCAAGAGGAGCAAAGACTGGAAGTGGAGGAGTGTTAATTACTCATGTAAGAAGCAGGGCCTAAAGGCTGAGGCGCAGAGAGAGGAATCAGAATAAAAATACGTGCAAGGACAAGGTCAAGGGCACATGTAGGCAGGGTTCTTCCTGCCTGAGAGGTTGCGACATCACAAACAGAAGGGCAAGCTAAATAAAGGCTCACCCTGATGTTTCTATTTTCTCCATAAAGGAACAAAACAAAATCATGCTGCTGAGTACACTGTAAAGATGAAGATAGGGCAAAGATTTGCACCAGATACCAAGGGGAATGCAGAAGTGAGGCGCCAGCGAAGCTTAAAGCCATTCCTGTGCAGTGATGACAGTCACTTAATCTGATGCCTTCAGCCCCCCTGCCTCCCTCCCAGGGTACTTAGCATAGACGCCCAGTTCAGATACATCCTATAGTGGACAGTGGGACTAACTAGAAGACAAAGCAACTGTCGGTTGTTGACTGAATGTCATCCACCATGGTAGAGGCAGGCAGATGTGAGAAGGGACTATGCTGACAAATGAGAACAAAACAGTAGACAATGAGCAGCCAGCATCTTAGTGAGGTAGAACAAGCAGAGAGGTTGGATCGACGTTGCACCGTGACCCAGTGCACAGTTGACATCCATAGGATGACTGTCCTACCGCACAATGACTCGACCCTCAGAAGACAGTGTATTCGCTTGTGGGTTCATTATTACTTGAGACCTTTGATGTGCCAGGCTTGGAACAACCATCTGCTCGAGAAGTCTTTTTTTTTTTTTTTTTTTTTTTGTGCCTATAGAAAAATCTTCTATATTTATTTATTTATTTTTTTAATTTTTTATTTTTTTTAATTTTTTATTTTTTTTTATTTATTCGAGAAGTCTTGACAGTTCAAATGTTCTCCTAAAAGTTGGCCCTAAGATCCATGAGAGCTACAAGCACACAGACTTGTTGTTCATAGGAGAGGTGGCCAGGGGCTTTGTCTAGACAGGAAGCTTGGGATCAAATAACAAGCTTAGAGGATTGGTCTTTCCACTGAATTCAATAGAAGCTGTCAGAGAAGAGTGAAATCAAGCTGATATTTTACAAAAAGAACTTTGATAGATGTTCTTTTCAAACATCCTTGGATCATACAGTAACTATGTACAAGACCACAAAGGAAACTTCAGTAAGTTCCAAAGAATCTGTAGACCACATTCACAAACCACAATGTAGTAAAATTAAAAGTCAACAACATAAAAGAGAGCCGAATAGAAACCCTTACAACATAGACTACACATACATCTTAAATTGCTAAATGAAGTTGCTTCTGAGGAAGGACTCAGGAAGTCAGAATGAATGTTTTCTACTGTGTACATCTATTATGAAAAATAAAATATTCATTGCATACATCTGAGTTTTATTAAGCTAGGTAAAGAATAGAGGCATGTACACAGGTTTTCATTAATTTTTGTAAACTTTCTAAAAGTTGAACGATGTTACCATTTTTAAAAGAAAACAACATACATCTGAAAACTGAAAAATACAGATATTAAAAAGAAAACCAACATGGAAATTACAAAATATTCAGAAAAGAATAACAAAGCCTGACATAATCAACAAACATGTGAGAACCAACTAAAACAATAAGTAGAGGAGAATTTATAGTCTTAACTGCACTTACTACAAAACAACACAAAAAAATATAAATAGCTAATTGCTCAGGTTAAGAGGTAGAAAAACTTGGAGAAAAGAAAAAAGAAAAAAAAGAAAGAAAGTAATAACCAGAAATGAGTAGAACAAAACATGGCAGTTGATTATAAAAACCAAAAGTTAGTGTCCTGTTAAAAATAATATACACAAACTTCTTGTAAGATTTAACAAGGAAATGGCACAAATAAACAATATCATAAATGACAAGACAGAATAAAGTTTTAGAAAGCATGAGCATACTATGAACAACTTTATTCCAATATACTTGAAAAATTAGATTGAAGTAATTTTTCACAAAAATGCAAATCATAAAACGTGGCCCAAGAAGACAATAATTATAAAATTGAAATGATAATATAGGATCTGTTCCAACTCCCCAAATGCTTAAGCTAAGTTTTTTTCTTTTCTTTTTTTTTTTTTTCTTTGTGGAATTGGGGATTGAACTCAGGTCCTTGTGCTTGCCAGGCAAGCGCTTATTCTTCAGAGCCATCTCTCTGGTCCGCTCAAGCTAAGTTTTATGAGAGCAACTCACAAAAGAAGAAATACTATATTATGCAAACTATGCTGCAGCATGGAGCTTGAGAAAGCTATCCGACACATTCTGTTAGTCTGACCTCGATGCCAAAAGGAAAATAGAAAAATTAAAGAAAATGCCAGGCCCACATACATCACAAACGTGTGCAAAACTTGAGCTTACAAGCATAGCAAAAGAAGATCTCTTGTAGAAAAGAAAATGTATTCCTTTTACTTGTATTATATCTTTATATTTGTATTTCTTCTTTTGAATTCTTATACTAGGGAAACTATATGATATTTACACATGTGTGTCTGGTTTATTTCACTTATGAGTATATCTTCTTTTTTTTTCAAAGTTTTATTGATAAACAGATAGCAATGAGACAGTTTCAAATCAAATCAGAAGTACAGTTTCAACAAATAATACACTGC